CCCACTAAGGGTCATGCAGGAGTTAGCCGATCAATGATTCTTATCATTGATGTTTCTATCTCTCTCTCCCTCTCCGTCTCATGTAATATCTTAATCAATAAAAAATATATTTAAAAAAAAAGAACATAAAGTGGGTACTGAGACATAAACATCTGAAAACTGCATTTCCAACACACTGCAGAAATTAAGAAAAGGAAAAAACAAGGTTGGGTGAGAGGATAAATGGACACCACTTACAGTAAAAAGGCCTCATTTACAGCATCGAAGAACTCCGGCCAGAGCATTTCCTGAGGGTCATGGCCATGGTAGGTGAGCAGAGCTTCCACCAGTGGTTCAAAATCAGGCAGAGTAACAAGTGGGATACAAATTCGTGATAGAGACCTTACTCGTTCAGGAGCCATTCTACAGAGTAAACAAAATAAGAAATAATTAGCCAATCTTAGAGCCACGTGTAATTAAAGACATGTAACATCTTCATGCTGAGCAGGCTGATGACAGTGGCTTGCTCTGCCCCGCCATAAAGAGGACCATCCTAACACCATCTGTGAATGCTCTTTTGTTACCCACTTCTCTAGAAAGAAACCCCATCTGCAGTTCTCATTTTAACATCGCTTATTTTCAGGACTTTGTCATAACTCACTATGGGTTCCTCTAATGTGTTTTTTTTTTTAATCTTTTAAAAATACACATTTTTAATTGATCTCAGAGAGGAAGGGAGAGGGAGAGATAGAAACATCAATGATGAGAATCATTGATTGGCTGCCTCCTGCACGCCCCCACTGGGGATTGAGCTTGCAACCCAGGCATGTGCCCTGACTGGGAATCAAACCAAACCGTGACCTCCTGGTAAATAGATCAACGCTCAACCCCGGAGCCACACTGGCCAGGCTCCAACTTATGTTTTAATGCCATTGAGTTGGCTCTGACTCCTGGCAACCCTATGAATTAGTATCCACAATGTCCTGCCCCCAAAGTCCTGCTCAGCTCCTGTAGACCCATACCTTCTTTTATGGAATCAGTCCATCTTGTATTTGGCCTTCCTCTTTTCCTGATACCAATTTTCCCAGCATTATCATCCTTTCCAAAGAACCCTGCCTTTTTGTGATGTACCCAAAGCAGGACAGCTTCAGCTTTGCCATTTCTACCTTCAGCAATGTTTCAGACAATGTGCTCTAGGACTCACATATTCATCTCCAAGTTACCCTGCCCAAAACAGAACTCTTGAATTCCTTCCTCAAATGTTCTCTTACCCTGTGCTCCCTCTCTCATTTGCTCAAGCCAAAACCCTTGAAGTCCATTCTTGATAGCTCCCTTTCTCTTATGCCCCTTATCTGATCCAGCAGTAAATACTGTCTATTCATCTGACTACCTTTCAACACTCCCATTGCTACCCCCTAATTCACTATCACTCCCAGTCTGGGTTACAGTAGGAGCCTGCTAACTTTCTCCCTGCTTCTGCCATATCCCCCACTGTTTATCATCAGAACAGTTCCAGCAAATCTTTAAACATGCAGATCACTTCCCTTGTCTACTCAAAGCTTTGCAATGGTGTCCCAACTCACACAGAGTAAGCAGTCTCATACTAGCCACGAAAGCCCTCCATGGTGGGCCCCTTCTGTTTCTCTGGCTTCATTTCCTCCCACTCTTACCCTTGCCTGCTCTGCTCCAGCTGTACAGGTCTCCACCCACACCAAGTAAGGTCCTGTTGGAACACATGGCTAGCTCCTTCATGTCATACAGGCCTGAGCTCCAATGCTGCTTCATGTGAGGGTTTCCCTCACCATCCCATATAAATGCACTGACCAATATGGAAGCAATCAGCATATGTGGCAATTTAAATTTATTGAAATGAAATAAAATTTAAAACCCCATTCCTCTGTGTTCAACAGTTACATGAGGCTAGTGGCTTACCGTATTGGACAGTGCAAAATCAGAGCAGAAAGCTCTACTAGTCAGCAGTTTAACATAACAAGAGCCCTGCCAGCCCACTGTGTACGTCCTATCTCATTCACCCTGTTTTACTTTTCTTCAAAATACTATAATGTATTTGATTGTTTAGTGTTCATGGTCTGTTTCTTCATGCTAGGACATCAGCTCTATAAGGGCAGGCACATTTCTTCTATTTTGCTCTCTGCTCTATTCCTAGCACGTAGGGACAACTCCTTATACATATTACATGCTCAAGAAATAGATAAGAAAAGAACTAGAGATCAATAAAATGAAAGTTTGAAATGTATGCAATTAGATGTTTTTCTAGGAATATATAATCACAAATCTTGTAGTCTTATATTTTGTGAAACACAAATGGAATCACAGAACTTACAGCTGTCCTTCATTTTACTTGCTGTCTATTATTAAAAGAGCACGTGAGGGCTATAATTTAACAACATCCTTATTTATAGGCACTGAGCTTGCTTCCAATTGTTCACTATTATAAACACTGCTGCAGGGGTTCCCATCCTTGCATGTGCCTATCTATGTCTCATGTAAATATTTGTGTAGTAGATTGCATCCCAAAAGACTACCAGCTTACTTTTCCACTCTTGCCAGTGATATTATTATCAGTACTAGTGGTCCAATGCACAAAATTCGTGCACATTAAAAGGGAATTAATTAGAGGAAATATTTTAATATTGCTAAGCGCCCTTTCTCTATAATAGAAGTGTCAGAGATGAAAGAAAATTAGTAAAATGTATATGAAAATCTTCCTCCTGTCAGAGTCTGGGGCGTGCTGCGGGATCCAGAGTCAAGTCCCCACCAACCCACGCACACCTTGAAATTGCGCGAGACTCAGACCCGGCTAGCCCCACCCCCATCAAGCCCCACAGGGCAGGGGGTGCAGCCTCAGGTCCCCCATCAAGCCCCACTGGGTGGGGGGCGTGGCCTCAGGTCCCTGCTGATGGGCCGTTACAGCTTGATGGCATGACGACCATTTGCATATTAGCCCTTTATTATATAGGCTTTTTAATTCTTGCTAATCTGGGCAAAATCCCATTGCTTTCATGTGCACTTTCCTGATAACTTTCTAGATTATTAATGTTCGTTACCCACTTGTATTTCCTCTTCAGTGAATTTGTTTTTAATCCTACCAGACCTGAGGCCCTGAACCTAACTGTCCCTTATACCTGGGCTCCTGAGCATTAAAGAGAAAAAACCAACATGATATAGAAAAATGTTAGTTACATGCAAACAAGTAGTTAGAATAGGATGGAACTTGGAGACATTGTAGAAAATAGGTCTACCTTTCATCTACCTTTCATCTAGCGCCAATATTCCACCCTTGTGTGGAAATTACCGAAAAATCGGTACAGCGGTCTAGTAGGGTTAAATTAGTGTATTTAGTGCTATACACTTACTATATTCAAAGTTGTCTGCAAGTGTTTGAGACACAAGAGCAAACACAAAGCCTCGTAATGGAGCCAGAGGATACCAAGTGCCCTGGTGAAAAGTGAAGCGCACTGAGGGGTCAAGGAGGGCAGGGACTTAATGAGGGAAACATCTGAGCAGAAATCTAAAGGAAGTGTATGAACAAACCATGCACATATCTGAGAGGAAAACGTTGCAGGCAGATACAAAGCAAATGTAAAGGCGATGAGTGTCTGAATATAGCGAGGAGGCCGAGGTTGTCAGGCCATCGTGACTGTGGGAGGGCCCGAGGCAGTCAGGCTGGGATATCCTTTTTAACTTACTTTACATTTTTATCAAACTTACAGATGCAACTGTTTTAAATAGTCAAACAGTTTTCAAAGCTTATGAAAATCAGTAGCTTTTGCAGAGCACTCCCACCCCCACATTCTGATCTTGGAGGCCCAACTCATTCCTTAATATCAATGCTGTTTGTCTTGGGTTTAATGACTTGTTATTTGGACTGTTTGCTCATTTTTTCCTTGCAATGATTATTTTAACCCCAAACTTCCACCCAAACGTATAATCTTCTTGCAATATATTCAGACATATCTGAGTTTCTACCATTTTCATCTTCTTAAATAGATTTTTCTTAGAACATTTTGACCTGTTCCATTCTGGAAAGGTTGTTTTTGACTCCCATTGTGCAGTTACTGTCTTGGGATCTCCATCCTGTGAATTTCCTACACGTCACTCCAGGATCCCATATCATCTTTCTTGGTTCATTCTTCTTATGTAGGAAAAGATACATGAGAGGTAAAGTATTTGAGATCTTGTGTGTCTGAAAATATCTTTATTTTCCTCTCACATTTGGTTGATTCTTCAGTTGAGTGTAGAATTCTGGTAACTGTTCTACAGAAGTGTGAAAGTGTGGTGCTACTGTCCTTAAGCTTCAGTGTTGTTCTTTAGAAGTCCCATGCTATTATGAATTCTAATCCTTATATTTGTAAGTCCTGTTTACCCCTTTGAGGCTTTGCATATGCTCTTTGATGTTTTACTATGAGGTATCTTGGTATGGACTTATTTTTATTCACTGTGTTGGGCACTCAGTGAACTTTAAATCAGGAAAGTTCTCTTGAATTATTTCTTTGATGATTTCTACCCATTCTTTTCTCTGTCCCCTCTTTCTGGGAACTCTAATTTTTTAGATATTGAACTTCCTGGACAGTATCTTTTCTACTTGATATTTCAACTCTTAGTCTTTTTGCTCAAGATTTGGAAAGAATTGTAGAACTTTATTTTCCAGTCCTTTCATCACCACTCTTAATTTCCAAAAACCTTTTCTATCCTATGGATGCTCCTTCTTTTTAAAAAAATAGCACCCACCCTGTTCTTGTTTAATGAATACACTACCTTTATTTTCATGGAGAAATCGATATTAATTTATTTGAGTTTTTCTTTGAATAATCTTTATTTTTATTGGTTTCTACTTTTTTAGATTACACTAGTGGCCTAGTGCACAGATTCATGCACATTGAAAGGAAATTAATTAGAAGAAATGTTTTAATATTGCTATTCACCCTTTCTCTATAATAGAAGTGTCAACCAAATTTACGATCAACAATGACAGATCTAAACACACGCCTGTGATTGGCGCCAGCAAGAGCTTCATATGTATCATGCATGCACAAGTCAACTTAGCGTTTTATTTATAGAGAATAAACTTGCTTAATTAGATCTGCTTTCTGATGTAGCTAAACTTTTTCCAGCCCAGTGAAGCACCCCAACTTCTCTTTCAAATAATTATTAGCAATACAGTAGTAAACATCAACATAAAGCAGATTATTATTGTAGATCACGCAGGGAGAACAAAGGTTAAAATATTTAATTGCAGCAGTGTTTGACTACATTCTGCACAGTTAGAAAACCTGAAGTTATTTTTAAGGTCCACCATTTCTTACTTCTTTTCAGTCGGGTTAAGTTTCTAAACTTTCTAAATCTCCATTTTCCGGCTACTGAAAAGAAAATAGGATTCCACCGAGTCTCCTATCTATCTA